GCAGGGAGGGATGCACAGCCACAAGGATCGGTGGGAGGTGCTGGTCCCCGTGTGGAGTAATCAGGGCATGAAGCCACCTCAGCAATCACTTTTCCTGCAGCTCTGCCCTCCAGGGGTCTGCATAGGCAGATCTCCCTCCCCAGAGATGGCTGCTGCCTTCATTACAGAGTAATGGGGCCATGGAGTAGAAGATATTTGGGCAAGGGGAGAGGTTGGCAGTGAGAAACAGGACCCAGCAGTGAGGCAGCCTCTGCTCTGCCCTTCTGCTGGGGTGGGGGGGCTCACCCGGGGGTGCCCTGGTGTCAGACAGCTCCCTGACAGCCTCCAGAGCCCACTGCCCTCACACACACTGCTTAGTGTGTGTGTCAGTGTGTGTTAGTGCCAATCCCAGGGTGCTGGAGTTATGCAGACAGAGCAGGGACCAGACACCTGTGTCAGAGAGGGTCCAACAGGAAAAGGAAGTGCACAGACCCCTCATTTTAATAGGCAGTGTCTTAAAAAAGTTATCTGGGGTCCTTTTGCACCCCAGCTCGTGTCCCTGGAGGGCTCACACCCACTCTCTGCACTCTGCTTTAGGTGCCATGGGTCCCAGCATAGCCCCTTGCCTGAGTGCTCGGAGATGCTGCAGCAGAGCTGGCCTGGACACCCTACCCCGTACCCTCGTCCCCCACTCCAGAGGCAGCCACTGCACACAGCAGAGTCACAGAAACAGGGCAGAGGCAGGAGGATCAGGCTGGGGTGGGTCAGCCAAACCCCCATGAGGGGCAGGGATGTGCCAGGCCCTCCTGGGTTGATGTGTCCTCATGGCTGCCTGTGTAACCTGTGTCACTGAGAACTGCAGTGGGGACAGAGGAGCACAGTTACAGGCAGCTCCCTGGAGGGAGCAGCAGAGCCTGGAGAAGGAGAGTCGGAGGCCTCCTGGGAGAGCAGGGCTGGGCAGGCAGGAGCCCTGGTCAGAACCCAGCTCTTCCTCTGGACAGGCAGCCCCAGCTCAGCGACAAGCAGTGAGCAGGCAGAGGAGCTGCAACCACAGGAAAGGAGTTTGATAGAATTTTTGGGTGCTACTCTCTAAGCCTGTCCACTCAGCTCAGCTGAGCTGGTATCCAGGTTTCTCAGCCTCCAACTCCTAGGACTATCTGCATTGCTCCAAACTTTCCTGAAGTGCTTCTTTTTTGGGGGCAAAAATATACTATTTTTGGTCTCAGTCCAGAGAGATTTTCAAGTTTGATTGAATTAATCTGTCCAGCTGTTTTCAACTTGGGAAATTGAAGGGGAAATTGCATTCTTCCCATCTGGAAAGCAAATTTTTTTAAAAGGATAAGGTGAAGTCATTAACATTACAGGGGTTTGGGATTCTCTCTTCCTTTCTCTTTTTTTTTTTTTTTTTTTTTTTTTTTTTTTTTTTTTTTTTTTT